GACTCGACGGCACATAACAACAACAACAGACTCAACTCATTAGTGTGCCTCGGTCTATGTGTTCCATTCACTAAGTGTCCAGACTACTGCACTGAATAACCTAAGCGTAAATACCAGAGCTTACCTTCTGCTGTTTCCTCTTGCCAGGTATCCTACCCCACGATCATCTGCAAATCAAGTGGGCTCTAATCTGCTTCCCTATTTTATGTAAATGGCTTGAGGATGACTTCATCTTTTCAGTTAAGCTAAACTAGGGGTTTTGTGACACCCGTTTTTCAATCACAAGCTTCAGACTCATGGCTGTGTTCAATATGGTGGTGTTGCTGGAAATCTGATTTGTGGAAAAGTGGAAATTTTCTCCTCTATCCTATAAAATCTTCAGATGAGATATCATATGTGAGAAAGCTTTGGAAACAGTAAAGCCACACAAAACCCTAATTACTGTTACCCCCACAACTGCTGTGATTCTCAACTCCTCAGAGAACCCTGCAAAGCAAATTCTGCAGTCTCACTTTTACTTGGTAAAATCATCATGCATAACTGGGATTCTCTCACTTTCAGAACAGATAGAATATGTAGCCTTATTCTATGGAAGAGGTGTGTAAAGAGATGAATATATAACAAACTTTGAGACCTTGTAGCAGGCAGGGTATCTTGAAATATTAAATCCTAGTACTTGCACCAGATGTTAACTCTTCCATATGCCATCTGTGTTTTAACAAGACAATCTTCTTATGTGAATTTTAATATATGGAATAGAATTGTTTGTGCTTTGGAATTCTCATTCTTTATTTTCTTTAAAGGCATACAACAAAGGATAGGATGAGTTATTTTCCCCTCATTTTCAAGAAATACTCTTCACTTAAGCTATATCCAGAGTCTTGAAGAGAAACTCTTCCTTGGCTGGCCACGTGTGTGTGCACAGTGGGGAATTAGCTCAAGTGGGCTCAACAGATTCCTTCTGAGAGACAGCAGAAGGTTCCTGCTGCCCTTCTGCTCATCCCAACAAGGTGCCATTGACAACACTAGCTCTCTGCAATCAGTTAGCAAGACATCATTCCAAGCACAACTGCCCATTACCCAAACCTTAGATTTAAAAACAAAAAACAAACAAAAAAAAAGCACCACCAAAAAGAAGTTTCAATGCTACTTTGGTTCTCTAACATTCTTACTTCATAAGAAAGAAGACTCTATAGTCTGTAGAATTAATATTATGGAGAAATCTTGTATTATTTCAGAACTATATCCATAAACTCAAAAAAAAAAAAAAAAAAACCTCACTATCGTCAAGTTGGATCTGATTCATAGTGACCCCTCCTTGGGTTTCTCAGGTGGTATCACTATGTAAGTAGATTGCCCAACCTTCCTTCCGAGAGGAGTGGCTGGTGGGTTTGAACTGCCAGCCTTCTGGTTAGCAGTCAAATGTCACCAGAGCCCCCATATTCATATTGCATCTATTTCTAAGAGTATTTACTAGTACACCCAGACTGCAGAGTTTTATGGCTCATGAACCTTTATAGCTCTGGAATGTGTTTCATAAGGATACTGTGGAAAGTCCTAGGCTTTGGTCACTCAACTCAAACTTGTGATTAAAGAATGTGCCTTCAGGCTTCCAAGTCCATGAAAGCTTGCTAAGATTTCCTGCAGCTGAATCACAAAAAGAAGTAGGCTTTACCTGCCTTAGATGCATTTTGGCCAGTTTTGTTCATAAGAAAGTTTATGTGACTTCTGAATCAAATTCTGTTTTTCTCTAACTCTTATTCTTACCATCATCTTGACTGTGTGATGCTGCTAAGCACAGGGGCAGAGACCACACCAGAAAATAAAAGCCATACATGCTGCCACTAATGTGGAAAAAGTCATCTTAAAACAAGACAATGACACTTGATTGTTACAACTCACACAAGCTGGGCAGTGTTTCGTTCTGTTCTACACAGGGTCACCTATGAGTTGGATCTGACTCATAGGCCCCTAACAACAACACAAATTCTAATCTCTAACTCTGTAAGGTACTATTCCAGGATTTATTTATTTTTCTTTTTAGAGTCCTTCTTAACATGTTTCACTGGTTGTAAATCAAAAAATAAGGACCAGCCATTTAAAAAATAAGACTGATACTCTATGAATTAAAAATCAAAAGCTCTTGAGATATCTGTACACAATAGCTAATCCTGAACTCATTCTGCAATCTGAAACATCATGGGAAATTGTGATTCTGTAAGCATCCTCACCTCCAGTCTCTTCCCATTAAAGGCATCTTGCCCCAAATTTTAAAAAGTCATGTTTTTTTTGGGGGGGTAGGGGATCTGAAAATGCCATTGTTTTGCTTAAAAGTCTTAAAGAGCTTCAAGGGGAGGAGGAATGTAGTAACTTCACATACCAACAAGTCTTTTCACTTCTTAGCCCCTTCCTCAATTCTCATCCTAAAACAGAAGCTTCATCCAATCATAAACAAAGCCTTTCTCTCTTGGTGCTCGTGTTCCCAGTATGCCCCTCTGCTTGATGCTCCTTTCCTTTTCTGCCCCTTCTAAGTCCTTATTCAGACAGCTCTTTCTCTACAAAACCTCTCTCTTGAGACAGAAAGTGCTGGAAATCCTTCTGTATTCAAACAGTCTCTTGATCAAAGCTTCAGATTAGCATTTCTCGGATTCCATTGCCTTCAAATTTTCTTTTAATTCCCCATGTGCTTTCCCTTCTAATTTCTTAACTCCTCAAAAGTGGGGACCTGCCTTATCTCTGCACGCAGGGCCCAATGCATAGGAGAGACTTGATCAGTGCTTCATGACTAAATGGATAAAGGAACAGACTATCTTTCTCTAGCAATGACTCAGAGCTAATGCTTCTGGGTAAAGTCACAGTACAGACATGGAGGTGAGCTGGCCAAGCCAACCTCAATCATCCCAGGCTGCTGTGTTCAAGCAGACTGATGCACTCCTGTGACTACCTAACATGGAGGTTTCATTTTCCCTCCCTATACAACAAGCTCAGTCAAAAAGAAAAACCCTAACTACAGTCTCTACATTGGGACATAGTTACAACTCTGGGCCTGTTAACTGCCTTCTGGGCCTGTGGCCATCACTGAACCTCTGGGAGGCTCATCTGAAACAAACGGCTGTTAATGTTTTGATTGTCCTAAGGCTGCAGGGCTAGACTAGATGAATAGTTTTCACTTCTAAGATCTATGACTCTAATCATCCAACCATTCATCCATCCATCCATCCATCCATCCATTCGTGAAGGCCTGAGATTTCTCACAGCTTTCATATCTACAATTCTGTCTAAGGAAGTGGGATTCAAAGACACCTAACAAGTCCCACACATTCTGAGGAAGTCACAAGGAATGAGTTGGGGGATGTGAAGAAAAGCAAGTCAGAAGCTCACGGGTATTGAGGTGAGTGTCTCCACTCGGTGTTAGCTTGGGCACACGTCTTATAATGTAGCGTGCTTCACCTCCCTCTCTCAATAGTTTAGTATGGCACACTTCACGTCAAAGGGGCCCACAGGTAGACTAATAAGTGAATTTTAAAAGGTTTGGGAACTAGACAGAATCACTGACATTCTAAATTGTATTTGAGAACTGTCTGTAGTGAAAACATGCCAATAGTAATGACATCCTGGTACATGTAGGTATCTGTTCAGAAAAAAAGGAGCCCTGAACATCTACAGAAATGCATAGCTCTGCCATGCCAGTGATAACGCCAGAGTCTACCTTTGTTTCTGCTGCATTGGCTGCTGTCTCATGGCCATGTACTGCATGTCTTCTTGCAGACGATTAAGAGGGGACTCTGGCTTGACACGAATCCCATAGTAATGGTACTTGGAGTTTCCTCTTCATAAAAGAACAACAAACATTGGAAACACAAAAAGTCAGTCAGACCAATATTAATCACATAGGTTGTCCATTTAACTTCAAGTTTGGAAAACAATTAGGTAAAAGCAGCATATCAATGTTACGGATTTCTGATTCACCTGTTTTTGATACTTGGAATCTTTTAGGGTAGCTACATTTGAAAGATCAAAATAGGAATCTGATCAACCAGCTCAAGGCCCTAAAAAGAACTGTTCCTTATAAACATTTACTTAAATACTAGCCAGTCTACTTAGTCCACTTAAGTGATATTTTATTTTCACATTTACATTAGTTTAGAAGAGGTAACTGGGAGGAGAGGGGACATTTCTGGCCAGTAAAGCATGAACAGGATAGAGGTGGCACATGAAATAGGAATGTCCTATTAAGTGGTATACCAAGCCAACTTACAGGGAGAAAGAAATCATAATTTTATCGTCTTAAGTTCCACATTTTTCTAGTTCTCTGTACTTCAGGGTGGTAAAGTAAGATAACTTTTGTTCTTGGAAGACGGTGTGGTGAAGTCTGTGATTTCATATTTTGAGACCTAATAAGAGTTGTAAATAATTAAAAAGCAGGTATTTAATCTATTGATGTTGAAATACATTTTATGAGTCTCTGTTTCATGGATTCACATTAGTTTTGCAGGCTGAATAAGATGTGTCTCAACAGAAAAGGGAAAATTTCTCTGTGAAAATGGCAAATTTCCACCCTAGAATAAAAATCTCACAATTTCTCCAATGTTCAGGAGAAAAGCTGTGTTTGCCATTAGAAATGACAAAGTTTTGCTCTGAATGGAATTTGCAAATTCTGACAAAAATAACATTTTAAACATGTAAATTTTTGCAAAGAGAAAACAGTAGTTTCTCACTGGGCTATATATAGGAAGACATCACTACTCTTTCCATTTTGTTTTTACAAAAAGAAATGCAAAGGGAATGTGGATTAAATATCTCATGTAAAAACAGAGGAAAATTTTACTTCCAAGATTAAAGAACACACAGTAGATGAACTCAGAAAAGACATTAAAATCATATAAGTAATAGTGCTAGTTTTCCTTTTTTTAAAAAAATGCAGGGGATCTAAACATCTACATGTCATCAACGAAATAAACTAGAAGTAAGAACTAAGTGCCTATAAAGAAAGGCCTTCCACTTGCAGAGATTAGATCCTGCCTCCAAATTCCACTGCAGCATGGAGTGAAAAACCCAAAATAAAAAATAACGCAAACCCCACCAATAGCAGTGCTTCCTATACAAACTGGAGGGCGGCTGGGAGGAGAAGGAGGGTAGGAAGGAGGCATCGATACTCATGGAACATAAATGGGTCATGAAACTGGTGAGGAAGTTGACGCTTCTCTTGTGGAACTGCAAAGTAGAGGGAGTTGCCTGGTTTCTGTCCTGCTGCCTCCAAAGAAGGAGCTCTGGTAGCATAGTGGCTAAAGCACTTGACTGCTAACCAGAAAGCTGGCGGTTCAAACCCATCAGCCACTCCTCGGAAGGAAGGTTGGGCAATCCTACTTCCGTAGTGATACTGCCTCAGAAACCTAGGAGGGGTCGCTATGAGTCGGGGCCGACTCGACGGCACATAACAACAACAACAAGCCTCCAAAGAAGCCTTTTGGGTGGTGGTGGTGGTGGTGGGGTTCTTTCTAGTCTACTGCTTTCTCTCCTAGAGCTCCACTAAGTATTCTTTTCATCATATTTTGATTGGTAAAAAACACTCAGATCTATTTCCAAAGAAAACAACACTGAGAGTAGCAGGTCCCATGATCTTCTGTTCTCAAACTTAATTTGAAGGGATGTGTCTTTGTTTAGAAACAAGGGAGTTTTATTTGGTTTATTTTTCACTTTAGTTTAAAAACTTTGAGAAAAGGTTTAGTGCTTGTTTGATGGATTCACCAGAGAATTTTCAAGATGGAGACATAATAGTTCAATTAAAAAAAAAAAAAAAAAAGCCTCTGATTTAATTTGTCTCAGATTCTCTATGGCTATGCTCCGGTCCCCGGGCTTGGGAGCTGTGTTTGGATACTTGAGGGTATCTGTGGCAGCTCCTCCCTATGTCCCCATCACCTTTCAGACAGAAGAGTTTGGGAGTTTAGCTAGCTTCAGAAGAGGCATTTGTTTAAACTTTCCCCAGAGGGTTTCTTTTCTCTTTGTTCTTGTAGGTCTCACTTTCCATCCCTAATTGCAAACACTACATACCATTCTGAAAGGAACAGGAGACATACTTTTTACATAGTGAGAGGGGGAAGAAAATAAGCACATCACATGGGAATGAAAAAAAGGCTATATTGCAATATGTACTTATACAGTATGGATTCTACTCATTCACAAAGCCAAACAACCCCAATTTTGTCCCTTTCTTTCTTAAAGATGTGTTTCAAGGTCTGAATGGAGCTTCAAAATAGGACCATTGAAATCTCTTTCAGTAACAAAAGGAAGACAACAATAAGCTATTAGAATGTTGAAAAAAGCCCACAGTTTCAAAATATTGGCACGGTCTGTATAACTACTGTGCCCTCCGGTAGGAGATAGTAGGTTAGGTCTCTAAATAATGATGTTCATGGTTCTGGGGAAAAAAAATACTAGAGAAACAAAAACCTTTTTTCAAGGGATTGAAACCAGTTCCTTTAGTCTGAATAGACTTAATCATATTCTCCAGTTTAAAATACACTCTCTTTTGAAGCATGGATCGAAGACAATATATTTATGGGCGAATGGAACTTCCAGCAATCTGAAAGCTGGCAGTCCCTTAAAATGCAACCGAAAGGAATAATTCACACTTGAATACATCTAGACCTTGGAAGTCTCATAAAACTGACACACTCCCTTCTCTTTTTGGTATAAATTTATAATGAAGCCAATTAACAAGGCTCTGTTTCTTTTATTAAGAAAACTAAAAGCTATTTACTAGAATACTATGAAGCTGTGATTTATAACAAGTTAAAAGTATATTGCTCAATGTGACACAGTGTAACATCTCTATTTTTATATTTTATTTACTTCCTGTAAGATTTAAGAAATCAAAGCCATTCATATTCTCTGCTTAGGGACTTAAAATATTTGTAATATGCTGATTTTTAAAAATTATAGAATGGAGAAAATGAAGCTCCACTAAATATTCTCTTCATCACCTTCTGATTAGTGAAACACTCATATCAATTTCCATAGAAAGGAAAATGGAGACAAGCTGAGAGAGTCTTCGGCGCCTTACTGGTTTTCGGTGCCTTACTGGTTTTCCTGCGATTGAACTGTGTCACAGTTTCACTTGCACATGTGCACTGCTTCAGAATAACGCACAAAAGACCTTGGTAATAACAGGGTAAATAGAAGCCTGTCATTCCTGAGGGTTTCACAGTTCTGTATTATGCAAGCTCACCGAATGGTTTTTAATTGCTTTCCAGGAATGAAATGAAAAACTCAGGTTTAGGTGAGTACTCTATTCGAATAAAACTATTATTTATGAAGATATTCAAATGTGATTTTGCAAGAAATAAGAGATGCCTGGTTTTCTATCTCTCACTTTACTCATCATCTTTAATTTGGTTATTTTAAGAAAGAAGGACATGATGTGTATTACTTTCAGAAGAATCACATGCAGAGGCTGAGCTAACAGAGTGGTCTGTTCATCAACATGGGGTTTGAGATTGAATCCTTTTCAAAGCTATGCTCAGTTAATGTTCCAGACAGCACCCCCTTCTGGTGTCACAGTGTTCACTGAAGAAGGGCCTTTCTTTTGCCTGGGGGGATTTTGTAAGCTGAGGTAATTTTACTTTTTTCTTTCTATATTATCTGTCACAAAGTACATCTGCTCAAACAGCATACAAAACTGCTATAGTCTGAAAAAGAGAGATCAGTGTAGGATGTCATGTGTTAGTACTAACCTAGTTCCCAATCGTCTGGTCCGTAGCCCCATAAAAATGGACCGGATTAGTTTTCCAAAGGAGGCAGCATTGACTGGGTCCAGTTTGTGTTCCTGACAGTGTCGCAGGTAGTGGTTGTAGAGGGTGCTTCTGGGAAGGCTCACACCTTCTGCGGTCTCGTAATTGTCCAGCAGCCACTGGAGCTAGTGTAAAGAAGGCAGAGTGAGCACAGAGAACCCAGACAATTTACCAACATTTCTATGAGACACTGTAGACGCTAAATTAAAAAACGCTTACATGTTTTTCACCACGCCTTAAAGTAATGTAAACTGCTCTAATTCAAAGCCTGATATAACCGACTTTGAAAACTTCTCAAAACATTGGAAATTGCTGTATGTCACGTATAATTTCAAACAGTGTCTATGTCTTCCAATATTCAAGCACATGGAAAAATGTACTAATTTTCTCTATATCTACTGATGCTTTAGAGATAAACACCTGTTGGGAGAATTCAAATAATCCCATTAACTGGTCATAGATTTATAAACTACAGAATAAAGCATGTCACCAAGTCTGGCAGCAGGGCACATGAAATGCCTTTAGTGTTGGGTCATTATAACACATCAAGAGTACGCTGCCTTATAGTAGAGAATTCTAATGTAGTTACTTCAAATTACTACAATACTGTCTACTGGGACAGATATTACAGGCAAAAAAGGGAAAATTCAGTCATTTCTTCCCCAGAAAGAAAGAAATTCACTAGATTTAGGTAAAGACTTTAATGTAATGGGAAAAGAATCATTTACTACAACTGATTTCATTTTCCACCTCAAAGATGCATTCTTTGATGACCTTGGAAGACATGTTACAATGGTCATTGTAAAGCAGTATTTTCTCAATCTGTAGGGCATCTTTTACAGTTTTATGTTGACAAGTGCCCATAGTCTGACTTGATGGCACATAACAACAACAATCATCTAAGTAAAGAAACACATCACTGAATTTCAACTTAGCAAATTTATTTTAATATTCATTTATTTATTTATAAAGGAGAATTGAAAAAGATCAATGATTTTCTTACAGCCACACAGTAATCCAGTGCTTGAGTTTTCAACTCATGTTTCCTGGTAATTCCATACTGGTCAGCATATATATAGAAAATAAAAGCTAAAGGGTACAGTTTGTCAAGTATTTCATGTTACTTGCCTCAATAAAATTTCCAGGCCATATTTAAGAGGCTGTGATAGAGAGTTGTTCATATTTAAATGCAATTCAAGTTTAATTTAATTTAACTAATGAAAGCCAAACTATTCACTGTCCTCTAGGAATTTCTGGTCAAATCCTAAAAATGATGATTTGGAAACTGAAATAAATTAAAGCACTTCTCCATCTTGTCTATATATTTTAAGATTTGCAATCAAACTTAGAAACTGAGCTTTTAGACTTTTAAAATAAGAAAATCATTACCTGTATTTTTAGAATTACGGCCTTTAACGATGACAACTGAATTTTCTTAAGTTGAAGTATTCTTACATATTGTTTATGCAGTTAATTTAGGTCAGTAGACTCACACTGATTGTTGCCTTTGGAGCTATGGCTACTAAGCCAAGCAGAGGACTTTCAGAATAAATTTAATGGTTCAGTTAGGAAGACCTGAAGTCCTCTATGATCCACATATGCACATGGATACAGGCAGTGCCTGGATTATGAACGATTTCCATTCCTAAGTCTGTCTTTAAGTTGAATTTGTATGCAAGTTGGAATGGTTAGGTATGGTTTATATCTAATGTCAGTTAGTCAAATGTCTGTCTTAGTATATAGTAAATTTTTCTATGAATATAAAAAAAAACATTAAACACTTCCAGATACACTAAAACATCTTTAACTATCAATACAGTTACAATGATAATGTTTTGATGCATGTCTCAAAGTAGCACCCATTTGTTATTATGAACCATTGTGTGCACCTTGAATTTTTAATATAATAGGCTTTATGGGGGTTGGTTTGTAACTACAGGTTGTATGTAAGGCAGACATTTGTAACCTGGGGATTGCCTGTATAAATATTTAACATCTATATTGCCTCTGTAACATGCATAACCAACCCACTCCTATACATTTTAGAAAGAAAACATAATATATACATTATTCATTTCTAGAATGACTGAAACTATATGGGTCAAAAATAATTTGTAGCCTTTTTGCCAGTAAACAAGTCACAACAGGATCACTGAGTATCAAATGACAGGGACAACAGGTTCACTTATACATGTTCATTTGGTGTAAAAGAGAAGAGGTAAATTGATTGAGAAATCAAGTTACTGAGGCTTAGGCTAGTATTTTGCCTAAAAGAGCAGGTCAGGGTGTCTCTTTAGTGTTTCTTCTTAAGTTCTAAGACTTTCTTGACTATAAATGCAACTGAGAGAGATTACATTTAAAATCCAATCATACAAACTTCACTTATATTTCCTCCATGTGCCTCAGTAAGATGAGTGGGATAGTAAGCACTGTTGCCTCACCTGAATGGTGTTCAGGCGGCCCTGGTGAAAAAGTGCTGGTTCCTGCTTTGTGTACATACACTAGATAGAGCAAGAGCTGACAGCCTGCCATCAGTATTCCTCATATATTACAGAAAGAAACACAGACCCGTGATACCAAGCATATAAAGAAACACTGCGGAAAAAAACAAAAACAAAATCCCTAGAAAGATAAAGACACAAAAACTGTAAATATTTCTTTTTTTTAAATAATAATATTTTGCAACTGAACTAATGAAGTGCCCACATGCACAAGTATGGGACACACAATTACTGTAAGTTAAAAATGGCAAAGGTAAGTTTATATGGATGTGTATGCATCCATTCTCATAAAATGATATAAATTGTCCAAAGAATAAAAATATGATTTCTTAACAGAAATGGGGAAAAAAAATCAGTATTTCTTCTTTGGTAATGAAGATTACATGTTGGTAATTAGGAAAACTTAATTTAAGAGGGCATATATATTTTTTCTCAGAAATAGAAAACAATTTCATAACATGAACTTTACAGTCGAAGTTATATAAGTAATTGAAACGATCTGATATAAAATACTTTTAATATAAAACAAATGAAAATAAACTGTTTAGTTAACCATAGATACAAATAAAACCTTCTGTAAACTGCCTTAATAGTGTACTAGTCTTCTTGCAACACTTACAAATAAAGACAAGTATCTGAAAATGGAGCTTCAGATTTTCTCATGACTTAGAAGATCCAAATAAAGTGATAAAAATTTTATAAGAGAATATAAAAAAGAATATCCAATAGTAAAACATTTGAAGGGTGCTAACATGCACTGCCTTTTATAAAGGTGAAAACAAGTGTAAATATTACAGTTCAATATAAAATATTTTGAGTCCAAAGTTAAGTTTACATATATAAAACAGAGTTAATCAGACTATCCTTAATCAAAGAGATATTTTCACAGAAATAGTGGGATAATTATAGCATAAGTTGGCTTATACTCTTCAGAAGCCTCATGTTCAAACTGAATAATATAGAGAAAATGAAGCTTTCACTGAGTTGGCTACAGGGGCCTCTGTAATGGCCATACAAGTAGAAGCAACTGGACTGCTTGTTTCGTGTAATCATCCTTAATGAGTCTTCATTTCTAAAATCATCCCCCCGCCCAAGCTGAGTTTATTTGAAATTATTATTATACACATATATTATACACATATAATAAGCACTAGTTGTTTTGAAAAAATGCCACAAGATTGGTATTTTGGTGACTGTAACTTTGATGGTTGCAATGTTCATTCTGTTCCCCACCTATGCCAGTAGCGGGAAGAACTTTTATTCTTCTCCAGAAGATTCAAGATCACTTGAAGGGGCAAAAGGAAGTGAAGTGAAGGTAAAAGCCCTGAAGGGCAGACATGGCACTTTGGCAGACCCACCAGGCCCCACCAAGAAACCTGCTACCCACCCAGGGCAGCTCCCGTAGCAACACCTGTGTCAGTGGAAACTGAGACAGGCTGTGCCAGGTCAGACTGAGATTTAGCTGCAGATTGTAATCTGCAATTTATACGCCAGTATTTAACCTTTAAGTTTTCATGCAATGGTGACATTATAAATCAGATATTTGACTCTGAAATGTAGAGTAAAAAAGCATTAACTTTACTGTAACAGAAACTTGGAAGTTACGTATAACCTAAAAGCATGCACTCCAAGAAAAGGCAAGAAGGCCTGTTATAGGACAGACTGTGTCCTTGGGTTTTGTCTTTAATAAAATTTCTTTGGACAAAGAGAATTTAACATTTAATGTTTTAGGATTAAACTATTATTGCTTTTACTTTCTTGTAAAATGTCTTGTAAAATGTTTACTACATTTATGATTAAAAAGCCCATAAAGTACCATAGGAACTTTTAACCTTCACCTTTAAAGCCTGATTATTCCACTAATGAATTAACATACGCTCATTTCAGGTGGAAACCAACATAATTACATCTTTCAACCTTTGCATTTAATCTCTATTAATCAAGATAGATTAAAGAAGCGGACAGTTCTTATTTTCCCAAAGGGAAACACTGATTGACAAATGAAAAATATATATCTATATTGCATTCCCCAATTAACATCTAAATGTAACATTTGGCATTTTTTCCCAGTTGGGTTATTAACCATTAGGATTCACTTTAAGTTCAGAGCACTGATAATATGCATTTTGGCAGGCCTTAGCTCTGTCATAAGTTATACTTACAATACAGTAAAACCAAGGAGCTTGACACTAAAGCAAAGGTTTTATTTCGAGATAAATATATTTCAGTAGCAGAAACTATGGCAAAAGTCATGAAACAGTTATTTGCTGGGCTGTTAAAGACATATAAAACAAATGCCTAAAGCTTTTTTATATACTTTAAATGGAATGTAAAAAAATACACAAGCTTAAAAACATGTGCACTTTAGAAACAATTACTTTAACAACATTTTGAATTCAAATTCATGATCTAGAAGACCTCAAGATGAATACAATACAATTACAATGCTTGTAACTGAGAAAGAGCATAAAGTAAACTTTAAGTCTGCAGTGAAGAGAATTAAGACATTCTTATTTAAGTAGACGATTAATCATTTACCCATAGCATCTTTGCAGACACAAAATTAGAACTAAAATTATTTCAATAAAAAGTTATTTTACTAATAGGTAAAACGATTCAAAGAC